ACAACTCACCGTGTAACGTGTCGCGCGGCGCGACTCGCGATAACGTCAATCCTCAAAATTGATGTCACCCGACAGTTTCCTAGGTGTCCTTTCTTTTTCTCGTTTTTTTCCCCGCCTTTTTTCCGTTTTCAGCCACCGCGAGCACCTACCGCACGTTTGAAATAATTCTTTTAACTTGAAACTATGCTCGACACTTTCGTCTCTGTCACCGCGCCGCAGTTGACATATTTTGCAGTTGACGAAATAAAAAGAGCTTGCAGGTAAAACGATAGTCGAAGTGCAGCGCGCCTAGTATACGTGCACTCCGCGGTCCCGCTATTCAGGCTCAAAAATGATGCGAATTCGATTGCTTTACGGTGGCGCACTATAGTCTCGCGCGTAATGCATACAATATATAAGGCCAGAAAATGAAGCACAAAAAGTTGCGCAGTGCACATATAACTCGAGGTAAAAATGTCTAGCTGTGTTATGTGTGTCGCGGGTGTAGGCACGAGCAGGGCCGAGGGTTGGATGACATGCGCTCGTGTGTTACAAATCACAATCAAGCGGCATCGAGAGAGTTGAAAAATGTCGGGTCGCTTCGTTGGCTGCCGTTAGTTATTATGTATCCTACCTCCACGTTGGCTGCAGTATTACTATTATCTAACGATCTCTCGGTGTCACGCGCACCCTGTTCTCATTTTTTTCCTTTTTTTTACCACTCGGTTATCATTTGGCTACTCGTGTACGGCAGTATTTTACAGCGTTCATCAATAAATATGCAGGCTCATATACACATTGAAATGTATGCGCGAAAAATGGAGAACGAGAGAGCGATGTCGAGAAAACATTGAAAATATTGTTATTATAAATTTTATAACAATATATCTATGAAGACAGGTCAAAATTTTGTTTTTCGATTTCGAAATGAGTTCGAAAAATTGTAATCAGGTTTTTTTCTGCAGCTATGCTAACGATGAAATTTTTATTCCAAGCAATATTCGTCAAAAAGAACAAATTGCGAAATGAATGCAAAATTTAAAATTGTTTTAAAATTGGAATTAGAACCTGTGTAGCTGAATTTGACACACCACATCGGAAATCGATAATGTGAAAAAGTTGAGGAATTGTGTAACTAATAATAAATTTATATTATTAAGTAGAATAGATAGCAGAATACAATAGATTGAAATATTTTAAATACCGCATGACATCCGGTAATAACACGTGAGCCATATTTGTTGAAAAATAACTTGAAATAACGTTTGAATCTGTTTTGGATTATCCTCAATTCATAAGTGAAGTGAAATACTAAATTTACCTCATTTACAATGGTTTAAATCCATTTATAAGCCGTATACATAATAACAAGGGTAAAACATTACTTTGTAGAAAATTGCCAATACATATTAAATATGTATTAGCGAACGAGAGAGTTCATATATAATACCGAATTTTTGAACAATTTTTCATTCGCTATCGCAGCAGCCACGCGCAAAAAGCAAAAATGAAACGGCCCTTATATATGTATATATCGTACGTGATACGAATGTATATATCAGCAATTTTGAGGAGTTAAAGCAAATGTTTGTGCTTCGTTATTTTTTCAGGGAAAAATTTTTTCCTTTTATTTGTTCATTATCCCATTAGGATCTTTATCATTTGCTCGTTTATTTTATGGTAAAGAGAAAAAATTCACACAAAAGCACTAGTAGCTATTTAAACCATTTCAATTACTCGAGTATATATTTAATGAAAGGAAACACAGAATCGATAAGTGATACGAAGATTACGATTATCCGCTCGGAGTGTGTCAGCGAGCGTGAGGATTTCATTCGATCCATCCATCATGCCATGAAATCGGCATTAATTCAGTTTGCCTTAACGTCTAGAGGGTTTATCTAAAAAACTTGAAAAAATATCTTTGCATAAATTGATGAGTTTTAGTGCTGATATTAAAGTACCGTTTAGGGTTTGTGTAGGTGCCTTCAAATCGTTTTGAAACCGCAACTCTGCCACAGCGAAATCCTCTTAATATTTAAAAGCGATTGTTACGGACGTATCGATGATTGGCAACGCGGAAACTGACTGTAGTCCCTAGTACGGTACCGTGTAAGAGCGAACCGGGCAAGGCGGAGATAAAACACGACTGAAGAATAGTTTCTTTTAAAGTCTATTGTCTCGCGGCTGCTAGCTTTTTCTTGATTAAGAGTCGATTTCGTGACGCTTCTCCAGTAGCTTTCACGGTTTTTTAAACGTCATTCGTGCGTGACTAAAATTTGACGTTTAATCTCCCTCGTATCGTTTATCGCTTTGAATAAAGAAAAAGTTTGTCGACTCGATTATCTTTTTTTTTTTTAACTTCAACACTTTTGAGCTCGGTTGAAAAGTGACGGATTAGGCTCAAAATGGTACGTAATAAAGTGCTTGTAATATTTAGTTGAAAAAAGCAAGTTCATCGAACGCGTCTCACAATCTCGAAACAAAGCAATCGCACTTTCAAGCCTCCAACTTTGCGTGTCTGGGTGGCTACGTGAAAAAATATGCATTTTGTATTATATTTTCAAAGCAAAGTCAAAAGTATACGATTAGTAGAAATAATAAAGTTTGGTGAATGTTAGTAGATATAAGACCATTCCGTCAAAATCAGCCTATCCGACGAATTGTGTTTTAGTCATTAAAATCACGCCGTTAGTCATTTGTTGCGTGCTGCTCACCTATTAAATAGCAAGTTTTTTGTTCCCGGCATTTTTTTTTTCATCCTTTTGCTACCATTCAGTAGCTCTCGAAATCCAGAACGTCTCTTGGCTCGTTGTCTCAAAAAAAGGTTCGCGTTCGTGAAGAGGCTAAAATCTTGCGCTAACTAATTGGCGACTCCGGAACGTTGATTATTGCGAAAAATCGCGCTCTGCCGCGAAAAGCTGCGCACTGCACGGTATATAGGGAGAGGAGTCGCGCGAGCTCTCATTGGCAGTGCGAGCTGCAGAGTCTGTCTTTCTTTCAACTAATGGGCCGAGAACGCGCTAATTGCCGAGTAAAAGACGCGTCTACCGGTGACGTGCTAAAATATACGCGACAATTCGAGCGAACACAGTGCAGCGGCTAAATGGCCACTCGGCGTGACAACGACGCTCTCGTTCTCTCTCTCTCTCTCTCTCTTTTACTCTCTTACGCGCGCGTGCAAAACTTGATGATGAAAGGCCTGCCTCTGTCCTAACTCTTCTATACACGTCGAAAAAAAGTCCTCTCAAAGTGTCATTTTTTAGCTGGCTTTTATATTCGTTCGGCATATACAGTATGTGTACACTCGCCGAGCCAGAATTTTTAATTAACTTATTATGTATGCAGAGCCACTTCCTGCGACGGATGAATTAATTCTTTTTCCTGCGCTTATGCAGGCTGGAAACAAACGAATACTCGTTTCATCACGATCTTGGGATAACAATGTAATACATGCGGAATATTTGTCTCGCGAAAAAATTTCATCGATTCAGCTTGCACGTGACACACCTACGGTACATATAGCGCTCATACGGATAATTATAATTGCTTCCCGCGTTGCGAGATTTCAATTTTTTCAAAGGCGCTAATGATCGAACTTTAATCTCTCGTGGTGGAGAAAGAAAAATATTTAATAGACTTTTGTATACTCAAACATATTTGTCGCACCTCCATGAAATACATACACACACACACGCTTCATTTTCAAAGTAAAAAGTGCGGCTCGCGTTTATTTGCACGTGCATGCGCTTGACGTATCTACCGGCACGCAAAACATTCGTTGCGTCGCGCGCGCGCGTCTGCCATCTAGCTAAAATTTTCTAATTGAAATACGTTTCATGAGCACGAGAACTTGGTATCACTCGCGCGGCAAGACAGAGAAAAAAGAGAGAAAAAGTAGAACGCGCTCGCGCGGGCGCAAATTATTCGGCCATACGTGAATGATCTTGTCCCTCGCTCCGGCTGCGGCTGATGTGACTCGTGTGCGCGAGCGCGAGTGTTTATACGTGCATATAGGTGCCAAGCACTCTCCCTTTGCGAAGACGTATATAGTATACGGCGCCGCGCCTTTGAGACGAAAAGAGAAGAGTGGGTGACCCCGATATATACACAAATATATATAGCTCGCAGTGTATGTACTTACGTGCGCCACGTGCACTCCACTGCACACTTCGAGTGCGCGCGTATACACCGCCGTATACTTTGATGCTCTATCTGCTCTGTGTGGCCGTTACTGTTTGTGCATGTATTTTTGCCCTTTTTCATTCCGCAGTTTGTGCACATATACTTATACAACTTGCGACGATTTTATCGATAATTTGGACCAAGTACGCGTACGTAACGAAATTTGGTCGAATTTTCAAAGCTCCCAGATCTTAAATGAATCGACTTATGGCTGTGCCAAGTAAAGCTTTCAAGAAAGCGAGCTGTTCTCATTTTTTTCTTTTGCTTCAACTCCAGCGTGCCTATGGCCAGCCGTTAAAAGAAGATAAAAGGGGGTCGCGTGCGCTTGATTCCAAGCTTTGGTCAAAAGTGACCTGAAAGCCGTATACAACTCATTTTTCCCACTCTTTCCCTCCGAGTATTTTTGCATTTTACCTGCTGTTGGCTCATTTGTATGCGTATGTACGAAATCCCATTGAGCAATCCGTCAATGAGTGCCAATTTTGCAAACGTAATATCTATTTGAATGAGAAAAAGTACTCGAGAAAACAAAGTCAAGTCCTAGCGCGGCTGCCGGTGTATTATGGACTCGAACTGCTTGGCGTGTGGAATTTCTCATCTCTCTGCCATGTTTGTTTGTCCAGCCCTTTTGGAGCTGTAGTGGCAGTAGTCGCAGCCCTCCGTTGAATTATTCATGAGTTTTTTCCCTCCACTATGCGAGAAAAGGCACGCTCGAGTGCTAGACACCACCATCGCTGATAACAAAACTAAAAATCTTGTGCGCACGAGCACATAAAAAGAAGTTAATTTATCGTCATCAGTTTGTGTATGTAACGATTTGTTTTTTTATTCTGCAGAGGTTAAAATGGTCGAGCAGCGACGCGCATCAGGAGTTGTGTTATCTCAAAGGCGGTGACAAGGACACCTGTCAGAATTATGTGAGGGTGTTCGGCAGGCTCGGACCCGATCGTTTTTTGACCTGCGGTACCAACGCCTACAAGCCGCTTTGCAAGAGTTTCCTCGTCAAGGTAAGTTTTTTCCACTCAATATGGTATAAATAATGGGTATAAATATTACTAAAGGTTTTCGTGGACTGATGTGGAAATTTTGGCTGTAACGCGTGTATGCAAGCACTTGCATCGAATTATGCGCCTATAAATTCACCTTGTATTGCTATTTATAAATATTCTTGCGCACCCGGAGTCTATCTCGCTCGCTCTACAACATGTGGAATTGAATCGTCGAGTAGTCGATTAAAATTTCCGAGAAAAAAGAAATTTGCATTCGCGCAGCGAGCAGATAAATATTGCCTTGACTCCGGTGCATACAGTACGTACATCCGAGTCGAGCTTTTTTTTCAAAATTCAATCTAAAAGGCAATATGGAATTTTGCCCTTTATATCTTTTTCTCAGCTGCTTTCGCATGAGCAAAAAGCGCAACTCTGCTTACGTGTACGTAGATGTTGCACTACGTAGGGACGTATAGGAACGCGCCAAGAGACAAAAGGCCACTCGTGCTGCAGTACCATAAGACTGAGAGGAAGAGAGAGAGAGAGAGAGAGAGTCTCATCTTCTTTTCTTGGCAGGGATTCTGCCGCTGCACACAAGACTTTCTGTACGTTTTTCTCTTTCGCTCGCCGAGGCGGTGACGTCAATCTCTGAGTCAAAAAATTATGTGCTTTCTTTCATTCTTTCTTTCTTTTCTCTCGGCTGTCTCTCTCGCTCTCTATTATACGACTGAGCGAGATAGAGAACGAGAAAGAAGGGGGTAATAGAGAACGTGCAATTTTTCTCGTGGCTTAACAGCAGCTTTATTCGTCTATATACGAGCTCGCGCGCAAGCGCGCCAACTGATATCTTTTTCCTTCTCCGAGAACTTATACGTAAGAGAAGGACGATATAACTGAAAACTGTGCATAAGCTCGAGTGCACGACGCGCGACTGATGGATTGACATATCGAAGATGAGGCTTATATTCTCCGCCAGAGACTTTGTCGCATTACACAAATAAGATCGGATCCTTAATTTTTTCTTCTCTTTTAAATTAGTCTTTTTTCAATTCACATAAATTACCTTTGGAGTAAAGACGAGAAATATGCATTTTTCTCAAGATAAACAATGAGCCTGCGAAGCACAATCGATTCAAAAAAGTCGCCTATGATATAAGATTCATGTGGAATGGCAATAAGCTGCTCGATTGTGAATTTCATTCGTGAAAAGACTCTTGTGACTGTGTGTGTGTATGCGAATATAGGTAGTCTAGAATGAGACGTAAAATAGAGAAGGTGGATGACATCGTAGACTACGTGATGCCCTTGAAGCGTATGAAAAATTCCCATTTCTTTTTTCTCTGGACGTGTTCGCGAAAAAAAATGACGGACGATCGTGCTGTGAAGCCGAAGGTGCTACATTTGCGAGAGCGCGAAATCCATTTAAATTCTCCTGCTGTAAGGAAGGCGTGTGCGTGCGTCTCGAGGGAGCAGCTCGGGCTCGACGTTAATTATTGTTAACCAACGTTATGTTTAATCCATCTTGTCCAGCGGCAACAGTTGCAGCAGCAGCAGGCACGGCTTGCGCCAAGCTGGGCGCGTATGTGGAGCGCATTATAATTGCAGTTCATTATCGTTGACAATTGAACGTCAGGCCAGCTCTATATCGTTCCGCAGCCGTAAATTCTGCTCTTCTGCAGGCACCGTAGCTGTGGCAGCAGCAGCAGTAGCAGCTTGACGCATGGGGGGAGGAAAGAGAGGAGGGGGGAGGGGGGTAGGTAGCTTTACCTCTCGCTGCGGAGCGTTGCATATATGCGAAGGGGTGCAGCGCGCACAGCCTAGCTCTTGCAAGCTAGTAGTCCTAGCTGGTACTAGTCCGCCCTCAATTTGAATAAATTTACGAGATTCGCTATCGCTCCTCTTTCCTCTCCGAGTGAATCGCGAGCAGCAGTCCCTGGAATTAATCGGAATTAATTATCTGGGAGCGTACTACTGCTGTGCTGTTCTCGACGCGCGCTCTGACGCTGCACTATATGCAGTGCACCCCCTTTAGTCTTCATTTCCTGAGAATCGACTCCGAAGCTGCTTTCCCGCTGCTGCTACTTCTTCTTCTTCTTCTTCTTCTTCTTTACTCTTCGCCTTCGCCTTCTTTGGGCTCGGCCTACATTATTTATCTCCTTTCGTACAGTGAAACTACGAGCTACCTCTATCTGCTCGTCTGGAAACCTGACCTGATCTACTAAACGCTCTCGTGTGATGCCGAGACAAACTCCCTTCGCGCCGATCGTTGCCTCGACTCTGAGCTACGCGTGTGTTTGTATGCATAGGCGATTCGACTGGAAAATTAGATGATAATGGCTCGACTTTTTCTCTTTAAAGGAGCAAATCGTGCTGCCGTTACGACTTGCAAGAGTAAAGAGGCTTTTAAATTAATTAACAAAAGTTTAGACTTTCGTCGTAATACGTTGGCTATATATTGCGAACACAAAGAGCTAGAAGGCGCTTTTATTTTAGCGGTCTAATGTATATATTATTGGCTTGTTTTGGTTATTACAAACGCAGCACCATCCTTCGTCTAGTTGCCTCATTTTTCTCCGTCTTGCCGTAGCATAAACTTATTTTACATGAAACTCCGGCGTCTCGCTTTGTCGACGATACGATCCGCTTATAGTCGACGTCAGCACGTACATCTACTTTCGACTTTGGAGCGACGGGAGCGTCGGGTAATTATATTGTTTAAAAATTGTTTAAAAATGTTAATTTTGCTCGCTAAATCCGAGCTTTTAATAAAACATTAAATCACTTTTAAGTAGGCCACTAAGCGTTGGAGTCGGCTATTATTATATCGCGAGGGACGCGAGGCACAGAGCAGAGGCAGAAAGAAAGTCGTAGAGATGGCGAATAAGTGCAATGAATAATCCATGAAAACGCGGGGGAATCATCGTTGGCTTTGTGCGCGATACACTGCGCACGGGCCGAAAATCTCATTTCTCCCCGGCAACAAGTATTACTTAGCCACACACGAGTACGCGCGTGCTGATAACCGTCTGTTACTCAACTCTCTCTCTCTCTCTCTCTCTCTCTCTCTCTCTCTCTCTCTCTCTCTCTCTCGAGCTGCACGCACGCAGATACAGCGGACGTGCTGGGCTGTTCTGGCGGCTCCGAGCTAGCTACTACTGCTCGCTCGTGTCTACTTGCCTCGCGCGCTGTGCACTTGTGCTTGCGCTCGCAGTTTTCAATTACAACCGCGAAACAGAATACACTTTGCGCGCTGCTTTTGTCGTTTTGTTATCCACCCTCGGAGCCCTTGCCTCTTTGTTTTCTCAGCGAGCGTTAAAATTAAAATTATCATCTTCGCGTGTGCCGTACATTTTATAAATGGCTGACTGTGTGCTCGCGCACTTGAAAAATTGCACTCTTTATGTTACTGCTACTTATTACGCTGCACGTCCCGCGAGAAAGAGAAAAGGGAGAAAGAGAGAGAGAGAGAGAGAGAGCAGCAACTTTCGGCAAAGGTACGAAAAAGTAACAATCCATCAACGGCTGGCTAGCTACTGCTTATTTTTCTTATTTTTCAGCTGATGCTCACGAGTAGACACAAAACACTCTAAGAAATTATAAGAGCTTGTGTCATGCAAAAATCGTCCGAGTACCTGAGCGCACACACTTAAACACACACAGACTGCCGTGCGAGTTGATATATAGCCGAGGCCATTAATAAGTGTCCCAAGTATACGAGAGGGGTTATATGGCCGTATGTATATATGTCTGTATTGTATATAGCAGGTTCGCGACGGTGTCTGCGCACAGCAAGAGTGAGAGCCACAAAGAAAAGTTTTCTCATGCGGCTCGCTGTCGAGGAATCATAAAGATGGCCGCTGCAGCCAAGTGTAAGCAGCTGCAGCAGCAGCAGCAGTGCACACGCGAAAATTGCTCGCTAGCAGCGCGCGCGGTGCCTAGCCAAGCCGAGCTCTCGCGAATAATAAATCAGCTTGCGTTCTTTTATCTTTTCCCCAACTCGCGCGCGCACTGCCTCTGCCTCTGCGTATACATATACTTTATACTACGCAAAGTGCGCGTTTTTACCGAAGAGCAGAGGAGAGAAAGAAGGAGAGAGGGAGAGAGAGAGAGAGACAGAAAGCAAGAAAGGGAAAAGGAGGAAACCTTAATGGCATGGCCATGTTCATGCAACTGTACACGATTGTGTGCGTGTATCTCTTACTACGCTACACTATACAGCAACTCTATGCTTTTTAACAGTGACGGTTTTAAAGAAATAATCCATGTCTCTAGCTTCAGTTTTTTTCTTTCTGTAGCTGTGCTAGTTTACCGCGTAAACCCAAGATACGGAGCTTTCCAAACTCCTTATATATACGTATATAGTAAATAAAAAAATAACAATGTAAAGTATAAAGCTCGAGCTATATTATAGTACAAGTTGGGCTCGACGTGCCGTAGCGCGAGCTTTTCTAAACGTCAGTGAGAGAGGGGGGCCGAGCACTTGAATAATATATGGCTGACCATATTCCTGAGCTATTCTACTTATTTCGAGCGAATAAAAGCTTTTTGGATCGCACACCACCAGTAAATTATTCCAGGCTCCACGCTTTTCTCTTTTTACTAAATCATAATCCATCAAGCTTACTTTTCTCCCAATGATGACGTATTATAAAAAGAGACTGGATACAGAGGAATGGACGTTTTTATCTATATCATACGAGTCGACGTGGTAAATCCCAAACGAGACTTTAATCATCGCGTCGGCGGCCAGTAGCAAAACGTCAGTCGCGACGTGTTTTTCTCGCTCTCTATCTTATTTTCACGATTCATCAAGTTCACACGAGGCAAGAAAAAGGTTAGAATTGGAATTCAATCGAGTCCGACGCTTTATTTATAATACTCACTGTTAATTATTTTCTCAAGATATTGATTATCTATTTTTTAAATTAAGACTGTATGTATGTAAAATGGTTTCTTTCAATGAAGATTTCAAAAGTGCAAGATAGTAAAATTGAAATGGGATAAATTCTTAATTTGGC